AGAACAATACTCCTGCTCTGGCATGGTCACACCCAGTCACAAAGGAACCTACCCGCTCCAACCCTAATTAAAACGGCCCCTGCCTCGCCTCTGGCTTTTAGTATCTGTGAAAGGATTTAGTACAGTTTTATTGAAACTAAAATCAAAATCAGACGTATCTCCTCAGTAGTGGGCATTAGGATTTAATCAAGCAAATGGCACATTGTAGTTTAAATGAAGATTTTTAGGACTTAAATTAACGTTCTTATAAAGGAAAAAGTTAATGCTTTGAAATATCTAGGAAATTTCTGGGTATAAAATGTTCCCCTAGGAACTACCTGAACTAAGCAACTGGTAGTCAGTCCCTCCTAGAACTATCAGGGAATAGAGTATAAAAATACCATTTCTTAGAAGTAAAACAAAACAAGAAACTGACAAAAAATAAACAATGCCCAACCCCAAACTCAACTAGTTGCAAGACCAACAAAGAACAACGTTCCCCAACACCAGGGTTTCAGACCAGGCATTAGGCATCAAGCTGCCACCAGGGGGCAGGGTGGAGCTGGATTTTCCGCACACCTTAAAGCACCAGCCCTGACTTGGCACAGAAGAGAAGAAAGCCTGGACATGCCACAAGGTAGAAATGACACTCACGTGGGGTTCCCTCTCCCTGAGCCCCAAAACATTTATATACCACCCTGCTTTTGAAACTGGCTGTAAATGTTGCCACAGTACATTTAACTTTTAATTTAGTAACCTCACTAAAGGAATTAGAAGGCCAAATGACTCATCTCCACCAAGGCATGTTACCTACACAGGAGCTAACATGCTACTGCAGGTTCAGCATCACCAGGAACAGCTTCCCAGCTAGGTGAGTAAAGCACAGATTCATGGCTTTAATCGACCTTCACTTCCCATGTTCTAATCTCCTAGATGTGCTTTTTACCAGCTTGATTGCTGTTCTAAATCAAATGAATTCAGACTTTTCTTAAAAACATGACCCAGGAGAATAAAGGTAACCAGAAGCGTCCTCCTAGGTGGCAGTCATGTGCTGGTGGTCACTACTGTTTTAGGGAGACTAGGTGATTTCATCTCATGAGGAACATGGGCATGAAATTGTTTTGTATAATGAAGCTCAATTTAACTCTTGAGGTCCAGAAGCAGTTCCAAAATACAATTATGCATTTATCCGGGTTGCAGTATTACCCATTTACCATTACAGCACGCATCGACTAAAGGGAAGTTGTGAAAAATGAGCCTGCACAGGCGGTGTCTGCAGGTGCATCCGCACCAGTTCACGATGGGAAAATGCCCCA